AAGTAGGTTAGATAAATATCTATCAGGGATGGTCTAGACAGTATTTGGTCCTGCCATGCGGGCAGGGGACTGGACTCGATGACCTCTCGAGGTCCCTTCCAGTCCTAGAATCTAGAATCTATGAAAATCTCCATCTATAGCAATTCTCTGACTGATTTCTTCTCTAATCTAAAGCACCACCTTTGAGTTATTATTTTCTGTGAACCCTTCAGCAAGTTGAAGTGATCATTTACAAAAATTCTGTCACTTTCAAAATCTGGAATTAATTATTGTGGTCAAAACAGAAGACTGGGCGTGAGCTCTTCTATTTGTAATCTTGGAAAGTCACTTCAGCTTTGTTCTTTGGTTTCCCAATCTGTAAAACAGGGGTAAAAATATTTATTTACCTGCTTCTTAGGAGTTTTGCAAAGCATAATGTATTAATGTTTCCAGAGTGCTTTGAAATACTTAAATGAAGACATAGCCATCCTAAAATGGTGTCTGTAGAAGGGCTGCCCAAACAAATATCACTATTATTTGTCAGTCTCTAGGGCCTGGTCTACACTAGGAGGTTATGTCGAATTTAGCAGCGTTAAATCAAATTAACTCTGCACCCGTCCACACAACAAAGCTATTTAGTTCGACATAGAGGTCTCTTAAATTCGACTTCTGTACTCCTCCCCAACGAGGGGAGTAGCGCTAAATTTGACATGGCCATGTCGAATTAGGGTAGGTGTGGATGGAAATCGATGCTAATAGCTCCAGGAGCTATCCCACAGTGCACCACTCTGTTGACGCTCTGGACAGCAGTCCGAGCTCGGATGCTCTGACCAGCCACACAGGAAAAGCCCCGGGAAAATTTGAATTCCTTTCCTGTCTGGGCAGTTTGAATCTCATTTCCTGTTTGGACATCGTGGCGAGCTCAGCAGCACTGGCAACGATGCAGAGCTCTCCAGCAGAGATGGCCATGCAATCTCAGAATAGAAAGAGGGCCCCAGCATGGACAGATCGGGAAGTCTCGGATCTGATCGCTGTGTGGGGCGATGAGTCCATGCTTTCGGAGCTGCGATCGAAAAGACGGAATGCAAAGATCTATGAGACGATCTCAAAAGCCATGACAGAGAGAGGATACAGCCAGGATGCAACGCAGTGCCGCGTGAAAATCAAGGAGCTGACACAAGGGTACCAGAAGACCAAAAAGGCAAACGGACGCTCCGGATCCCAGCCCCAGACATGCCGTTTCTACGAGGCACTGCATTCCATCCTAGGTGCGGCCGCCACCACTACCCCATCACTGACCGTGAACTCTGAGGATGGGATATTGTTGACGCCCGCTTCCTCGGAGATGTTAGCGGACGGGGAAGATGAGGAAGGAGATGAGGAGGACAAGGCAGTCGACAGCACTTACAACGCTGATTTCCCAGACAGCCAGGATCTCTTCATCACCCTCACCGAGATCCCCTTCCAACTGTCCCCAGGCGTTAACCTGGACCCAGAATCAGGGGAAGGATCAGTCGGTAAGTGTTATAAACATGTAAAGATTTATTTTGAACAGAACATTAATATTAACAGTGG